TGTCCCACTTTAAAATATAAGACCATGATCAGTTGACTGGGCTTTATTCTGGTTGGAAAGCAGCTTTATCATATGGTGAATGCTCTCTGTGATCAGCTGGTCAGGGATGCAGAACAAATGATTACTCCATGACAGGACTGCTTAAGAAGGGCTCTGGATGACACTTCATCATCATCATCAGAGCATCGCTCTCATCACGGTCTGCCTGAAAGGAACTCTGTCTTTCGCCAGCTGTCCTGCCTCATGCACTTTCATATTCAAGAAATCACTTATATCCTGTGCCCATCTTCTTGATGGTCGGCACCTGCCCCTCTTTCCTGGTACCATGTCTTCTACTGTTACTTTTTCCGGTCCACCATGGCACTTGATATGACCAAACAATTTCAGCTTCGGAGACAGGATGCTGTTTATTAGCCAGTCTACTTTGGTGACACCTAGTGCACTTCATAACAGTCCTTACCCACATATGACTGCAAGTTATATCTGCCTGATGTAGCCATTACGAGTGCCCTAAATAAAACTTCTTTGGAGAGTGAACAGGTTGTGTGGGATTTGCATTTTATTCCACCATCCAAAGTGAGATTTTCAAATCTCAGGATGGTATCATAATAGCATCCCAGAAGGGTTCGATTGATCAGTCAGTTGACCTTGTGCACAAGGGACAAGATACAAGTGCTTCTAATCAGTTCCCCACTTGCACTACAGCATGGGTACATTATTGGCTGCCGCTGAAGGGGACGGGGCTTATATAGAAATGGCTCAAGTGCAGTGATGTCAGTTCTTAATTAATTATTTCACTCATTCATTTGTTCAATAATTTTGTGTTGCAACGTTCCTTTCTTGCATTCTACATTGCATTGTGCCCACAGGTTAACAGTTACAGACTCGGATGGTGTCAGCAACTCAACATTTGCAAATGTCACTATTCACAAAGGTAAGTATTTTATTAGCATTTTTGCTGTTTCTCCACCTTCACCTCTTCTTCCTGCTCCTTATTCTTTTTCTTGTTATTCCTTTCTTGTGCAAGTTATCTCAGCTCAGTCAAGTTTGCAGGAAAGGTGGGGATATGAAGATGTTATGATCGTATGTTTGCTCTTTCTAATACATTTAAATATGACTAAACCACTTCATCTTTTTCTCTTTAGTGAATTGTATGGCTGATTTCAGCCATATCTGACAAGCCAACATACATAGAACAGCGAAGAAATCAACACACAGAACAGTGAAGAAATAAACACACAGAACAGAGAAGTAATCAACACACAGGACAGTGAAGAAATCAACACATAGAACAGTGAAGAAATCAACACACAAAACAGTGAAGCAATCAACAGATAGGACAGCGAAGAAATCAACACACAAAACAGTGAAGCAATCAACACATAGAACAGTGAAGCAATCAACACATAGAACAGTGAAGCAATCAACACACAAAACAGTGAGGCAATCAACACACAGAACAGTGAAGCAATCAGCATACAAAACAGTTGAGCAATCAACATACAAAACAGTTGAGCAATCAACACATAGAACAGTAAAGCAATCACATAGAACAGTGAAGAAATCAACACACAAAACAGTGAAGCAATCAACACATAGAACAGCGAAGGAATCAACACACAAAACAGTGAAGCAATCAGCATACAAAACAGTTGAGCAATCAACACATAGAACAGTGAAGCAATCACATAGAACAGTGAAGAAATCAACACACAAAACAGTGAAGCAATCAACACATAGAACAGTGAAGCAATCACATAGAACAGCAAAGAAATCAACACACAAAACAGTGAAGCAATCAACACACAAAACAGTGAAGCAATCAACACATAGAACAGCGAAAAAATCAACACACAGAACAGTGAAGCAATCAACACACAAAACAGTGAAGCAATCAACACATAGAACAGTGAAGCAATCACATAGAACAGCAAAGAAATCAACACACAAAACAGTGAAGCAATCAACACACAGAACAGTGAAGAAATCAACACATAGAACAGTGAAGAAATCAACACACAAAACAGTGAAGCAATCACATAGAACAGTGAAGAAATCAACACACAAAACAGTGAAGCAATCAACACATAGAACAGCGAAAAAATCAACACACAGAACAGTGAAGCAATCAGCACATAGAACAGTGAAGCAATCACATAGAACAGTGAAGCAATCAGCATACAAAACAGTTGAGCAATCAACACATAGAACAGTGAAGAAATCAACACACAAAACAGTGAAGCAATCAACACATAGAACAGTGAAGAAATCAACACACAAAACAGTGAAGCAATCAACACATAGAACAGTGAAGAAATCAACACACAAAACAGTGAAGCAATCAACACACATAGAACAGTGAAGAAATCAACACACAAAACAGTGAAGCAATCAACACATAGAACAGTGAAGAAATCAACACACAAAACAGTGAAGCAATCAACACATAGAACAGTGAAGAAATCAACACACAAAACAGTGAAGCAATCAACACATAGAACAGTGAAGAAATCAACACACAGAACAGTGAGGCAATTAACACATAGAACAGTGAAGAAATCAACACACAGAACAGTGAAGCAATCAGCATACAAAACAGTTGAGCAATCAACACATAGAACAGTGAAGAAATCAACACACAAAACAGTGAAGCAATCAACACATAGAACAGTGAAGAAATCAACACACAAAACAGTGAAGCAATCAACACATAGAACAGTGAAGAAATCAACACACAAAACAGTGAAGCAATCAACACATAGAACAGTGAAGAAATCAACACACAAAACAGTGAAGCAATCAACACATAGAACAGTGAAGAAATCAACACACAAAACAGTGAAGCAATCAACACATAGAACAGTGAAGAAATCAACACACAGAACAGTGAGGCAATCAACACATAGAACAGCGAAAAAATCAACACACAGAACAGTGAAGCAATCAGCACATAGAACAGTGAAGCAATCACATAGAACAGTGAAGCAATCAGCATACAAAACAGTTGAGCAATCAACACATAGAACAGTGAAGAAATCAACACACAGAACAGTGAGGCAATCAACACATAGAACAGCGAAGAAATCAACACATATCCTAAAAGTCCTGACTGCATATCCTTAAAGTCCTGACTGCAAATCCTAAAAGTCCTGACTGCAAATCCTAAAAGTTCTGACTGCACATCCTAAAAGTCCTGACTGCAGGATCCGACGTGGTCATCCATCTACCCCAGACGTCAGTTACTCTCTATGGCAACAGTAGTTCTGATGATAAAGGACAGCTGACCTATGAGTGGATTAAAGTCTCTGATGATAAACTCACAGTTGGAATGACGGTATGCATTGCTTAACTCCCTCTTTACTGTGCAGCATGCGATATTTTCATTGGTTAATCCGAGGATAGTATACTTTTCAGACTCTCTTTTACCACAGATAGGTTAAAGGTTAAAGTTGTGAGGATCGACTTCATTGAACCGTGTTTTATCCCATATGGCTCAGTCTCTCTCTGCAGAATGGCTAGTGTCACACAGAGCACGAACTCTGTAGCTCCAGCAACGATCCCCAAGGATCTCCTTAAAAATTGCACTCATGAACAGAACAAAATGTTGGCAGACAGTTAATACTTGTTCTGCATTTGCTTGTAAAAGATCAGCTGATATGATGTGTTGTGGATTACAGCTAGACTGCAATATCTATGCCCTTTGACCCAACACATCCAGTTTCATTCGGCAAAGCCTTAATTATTGACCTTTTATGACATGCTTATGAAGGCTTTTCAGCTATTGAGGTTTAGGTGTTGCAAATGCGCTTTGTGATTCCAGAGTGCTGGGGTCGACCTCAGCTGAGGGTGATTTGGCAGCAGACCGCCTTATGTTGGTTTTGACAGTGTTAACGAAAACTGAGGGTCAAGAAAGCTATGGCAAACTACTGAATGTAAAATTGCCTAGTGAAATCACAGACCACCAAAAACTGCTGGTGTCGTTGACGCCCTGTAAAGGCACATTTTTTACCTTTTGTGTGTTTGTGTGTGTGTGTGCATGGTGGTCATGCGTGCATATGTGCGCGTGCATACGTGCGCGTGCATGCGAGCGTGCGTGTGTTATGGGGCAATTTATCTATTCTTTTTTTTTTCACACAGTGAAGCCCTAGAACCCACTCTTGGAGATAGTTAATATATAAAAATCATTAGTTAATATAAGAAGATTATTAGTTAATATATAAAGATCATTAGTTAATATATAAAGATCATTAGTTAATATAAGAAGATGATTAGTTAATATATGAAGCTCATTAGTTATTATGAGGCTCCTTAGTTAATATTTAAAGCTCATTAGTTAAAAAATAAAGCTCACTAGTTAATATATGAGGCTCATTAGTTAATGTATGAAGCTCATTAGTTAATATATGAGGCTTATTAATTAATATATGAAGCTCATTAGTTAATATATGAGGCTCATTAGTTAATATATGAAGCTCATTAGTTAATATATGAGGCTCATTAGTTAATATATAAAGCTCATTAGTTAAAAAATAAAGTTTATTAGTTAATATGTGAGGCTCATTAGTTAATATATGAGCCTCATTAGTTAATATATGAGGCTCATTAGTTAATATATGAAGCTCATTAGTTAATATATGAGGCTCATTAGTTAAGATATAAAGCTCATTAGTTAAAAAATAAAGTTTATTAGTTAATATATGAGGCTCATTAGTTAATAAATGAAGCACTACTACACTCACACTTAATGTGGTGCACTGTACTACTCTCACACTTCATGTGATATAATGTACTAATCTCACACTTCATGTGGTGTTCTATAATACTCTTCTCACATTTCCTGTGGTGTACTGTACTGCTTTCACACTTCATCTGGTGTACAGTACTCTTCTAAGACTGTGTCATTTTCAGTCCTACTTCCACACAACATGTGGTCTACAGTACTACACTACACTGTTGACAATGTGCGGAAACTGAGACAATGTTTGTTTATTCTTGTTCAGGGTGTACGCTCTCCATTTCTGCAACTCAGCAACCTGGAAGTGGGTGATTATAAATTCACACTGAAGGTGACAGACTCGGCAGGACAGACAGACACTGCTGACGTGCAGGTGTTTGTTAAACCAGGTCAGTCCGTCACTTTGTTGACTCTAGATGTTTTTATTGTTTAGAGTCATTCATTTAATGTGTGATATTGTACTTTCTCTCTTCTTTCTTATCTCCAGACTGTTCAGCCTCTCAGCTCAAATTTGATGAGGTATCTCATCAGATTTTCATGGGGGCATGTCTGCTATACTAACCGGACAGTTGAGCATGTGTTCACTAAACTAACCTGGCAGTTGAGCATGTGTCCACTATACTAACCTGACAGTTGAGCATGTGTCCACTATACTAACCTGACAGTTGAGCATGTGTCCACTATACTGACCTGACAGTTGAGCATGTGTTCACTAAACTAACCTGACAGTTGAGCATGTGTTCACTAAACTAACCTGACAGTTGAGCATGTGTTCACTAAACTAACCTGACAGTTAAGCATGTGTTCACTAAACTAACCTGACAGTTGAGCATGTGTCCACTATACTGACCTGACAGTTGAGCATGTGTCCACTATACTGACCTGACAGTTGAGCATGTGTCCACTATACTGACCTGACAGTTGAGCATGTGTTCACTAAACTAACCTGACAGTTGAGCATGTGTTCACTAAACTAACCTGACAGTTGAGCATGTGTTCACTAAACTAACCTGACAGTTGAGCATCTGTCCACTATACTGACCTGGCAGTTGAGCATCTGTCCACTATACTAACCTGACAGTTGAGCATCTGTCCACTATACTAGCCTGGCACTTGAGCATCTGTCCACTATACTAACCTGACAGTTGAGCATCTGTCCACTATACTAACCTGGCAGTTGAGCATCTGTCCACTATACTAACCTGGCATTTGAGCATCTGTCCACTATACTAGCCTGGCACTTGAGCATCTGTCCACTATACTAACCTTTCAGTTGAGCATCTGTCCACTATACTAGCCTGACAGTTGAGCATCTGTCCACTATACTAGCCTGGCACTTGAGCATCTGTCCACTATACTAGCCTGACAGTTGAGCATCTGTCCACTATACTAGCCTGGCACTTGAGCATCTGTCCACTATACTAACCTGACAGTTGAGCATCTGTCCACTATACTAGCCTGACAGTTGAGCATCTGTCCACTATACTAGCCTGACAGTTGAGCATCTGTCCACTATACTAGCCTGACAGTTGAGCATCTGTCCACTATACTAGCCTGACAGTTGAGCATCTGTCCACTATACTAGCCTGGCACTTGAGCATCTGTCCACTATACTAACCTGGCACTTGAGCATCTGTCCACTATACTAGCCTGACAGTTGAGCATCTGTCCACTATACTAACCTGGCAGTTGAGCATCTGTCCACTATACTAACCTGACAGTTGAGCATCTGTCCACTATACTAACCTGACAGTTGAGCATCTGTCCACTATACTAACCTGACAGTTGAGCATCTGTCCACTATACTAACCTGACAGTTGAGCATCTGTCCACTATACTAACCTGACAGTTGACCATCTGTCCACTATACTAACCTGACAGTTGAGCATCTGTCCACTATACTAGCCTGGCACTTGAGCATCTGTCCACTATACTAGCCTGGCACTTGAGCATCTGTCCACTATACTAGCCTGACACTTGAGCATCTGTCCACTATACTAGCCTGGCACTTGAGCATCTGTCCAATATACTAGCCTGGCACTTGAGCATCTGTCCACTATACTAACCTGACAGTTGAGCATCTGTCCACTATACAAACCTGACAGTTGAGCATCTGTCCACTATACTAGCCTGACACTTGAGCATCTGTCCACTATACTAGCCTGACACTTGAGCATCTGTCCACTATACTAGCCTGACACTTGAGCATCTGTCCACTATACTAGCCTGACACTTGAGCATCTGTCCACTATACTAGCCTGACAGTTGAGCATCTGTCCACTATACTAGCCTGGCACTTGAGCATCTGTCCACTATACTAACCTGACAGTTGAGCATCTGTCCACTATACTAACCTGACACTTGAGCATCTGTCCACTATACTAGCCTGACACTTGAGCATCTGTCCACTATACTAGCCTGACACTTGAGCATCTGTCCACTATACTAACCTGACAGTTGAGCATCTGTCCACTATACTAGCCTGACACTTGAGCATCTGTCCACTATACTAGCCTGGCACTTGAGCATCTGTCCACTATACTAACCTGACAGTTGAGCATCTGTCCACTATACTAGCCTGGCACTTGAGCATCTGTCCACTATACTAGCCTGACACTTGAGCATCTGTCCACTATACTAGCCTGACACTTGAGCATCTGTCCACTATACTAGCCTGACACTTGAGCATCTGTCCACTATACTAACCTGACAGTTGAGCATCTGTCCACTATACTAGCCTGGCACTTGAGCATCTGTCCACTCTGGCTGAGCTCATTATTGACTGTGGATCCCCTGTTGTAAGTTCCGGGGCCACATTTTGTTGTGGAAAGGGGGGGGGGGGGGGGGGGGGAATAATAGATCCGTTCCCATCCCCAACCTCACAAGCATATTCTAAGAGGTGACTAAATGTGTTTCCTTAGAAGTCAGAGTTCTGGTGAGGAACCAGCAGTCTGTATATAGATAAGCCAGATCTGTATAACTGAAATGCATGCAGAATGATGTTTATGCTATGGAACAAGGCCACAGTACATAAATGGATGAACAAACAGAACTTTCCATCAGAGTTTACAACCGATGAACACTGAGTAGAACTTTTTCTCTCAACCGATGCTAAACTCTCGCTGTTGTGAGAAGAGGAAAACTTAAACTTTTTGTGACAGCTGGAAAGATTGAAAATATTTCTGTATTTAGTTCTGCTGAATTTTTTACTTAATTATATAACCTTTTTTGTTGTTTTTTGTTTACACCAGGAACACAGAGAAAAAAAAATGACAGTGTCTTGATTGTATTTAACTGACAATGAGAAATAGCTACCAATATCTGAAGACAACCATCCCATTCCTTGAGCATGTCACAAGAAGGGGAAAATTAGAGTACATAAAGTAATGGACAAATGCTCCCCAATGCGTTGGGTATATGGTTGTGCATTTTATCGCATGAAGCAAACTAAAACCAATGACATAAGTGAAATAATAGTAGCAGTACTTTTAATTGAATCATTTGAATGAACTTTACAGAAACCAACCACCCACCCATGGCCAAGACAGCCGGTCATCTCAGTCTGTATCTGCCACAGGATAGCTTGACACTGGACGGGACTAACAGTACCGATGACACGGGCAAGATGGAGTATCACTGGACACAGAAGGGGTACATTGTACTTTCATTTGTTTTAATGATTCTCATTGGCATTAACTGTTTCAAGCATCATTGGGATTTATTATTCTTTAGGATTGCTAATTAAAAGTTGTCTGTGACTAACTGTGAGCATCTGTGGCTTAGGCGTTGTGAACGTGGTTCGTAATTCCAGGGTGCATCCCAGCTGCGGACAGTTTGTCTTGCATTGGTTTCAACAGTAGTACCAAGAGCTGACCATTCAGTTGACCATAAAATTTGTCTAGAAAAACCACATCAGCAAAAAATGCTGGTGTTGGTTCTACAACGTCCTGTAAAGGGCACACACTAACTTTTTTAAAACTGTGAGTAACTACACTCTGTGCATGTTAATTAGGTAATCAGGTAATCACAGTTCCAACTTCATCGCAACCATAACTGCTGCTGTGCCAGCACAAACCACACATAATGTCCACCATTGCCCGTTATGGACAGCAACAAAAACTACACAAACTGCAGTCCCAGCAAATCCAGTAGCATACACAGGCATTCAATACATAAGGTCAAAAGTATAGTAATGTGGTTTCTCTTAATGGCACCCAACTCCAAGGCATGGAGTCGTACACCTATTTGGGCAGTAATGTAGATAAAGATGGGGGAACTGATAAAGATATTGAAATAAGAATAAAAAAGGCAGGAGGAGCTTTCATAGCGCTAGGGAATTTGTGGAGGTCAAAAAGAATTAAAAGAAATACTGAACTTACAATTTTTAATTCTAATGTCAAATCAGTACTATTGTATGGGACGGAAACATGGAGAACAACTAAGAATTACTAATAAACTACTGACATTCAATAACTGGTGCCCGTGCAGAAAAGATGTAATTAAATGGTATGATAGAATAACTAATGTAGAGCTTTGGGAGAGAACTAAGCAAGCTCTAGTGGACCAACAGGTGCGGAAAAGACTCCAGCATTGGATTGGATAGGACACACATTGAGAAAACCAGAGAACAGTATAACTAGAATGTCTTTACATTGACACCCACAGGGGCATAAGAATACAGGACTTGGTGTGAGTTGGTTGAAGGCCTGTGGGGCTATAAAGGCAGAAGAAGAAGAAGAGTATTCAGAAGTGCTAACACAAACAGTCTTGACACTAGAAATGCAGTTCATAGTCGATGGAAGCAGAAGTTGAACAGATAAGTAGTTACACATGCAGCTAGTCACATAAGGCACCATCAGTTCATGGATGATTGGCGGTTTTTCAAGTGTGCTAATCAAGCATGTCAGTTTTCCTTTGCCAAGCCTCCTGATTGCTTGTTCAGTGTTCAGTCGTTTTTTAAATCAGCGTTGTATTACCCTTTTTTAACCCTACCAGACAGCTGGCCCGATTTTTCGGGAATTTCTTAACCTGACGCCATACCACTGGCTTTTTGCTTAGTGCGTGAAAAAGATGTGTCACAAACTAAAAATAACTAGCCAGTTGTAATCAGACCTCGTGGATAGTCTTCCTAGATGTCCGCCCTCGTGTGTTTGGATACAATTTGTTGTTTTACGTGAAAAAATTATGAAAATTCACAATAAAACGAGCGGCTTATTAAACAAGCACTTCGACAGGAAAGTAAAGTAGGTCTAGGCTTTTCATAGTCCAACAGGTGATCGATACTTTGCTTTATTCAGACTTTGCGGGGTCATAATTTCATGAAGAATACGTTCACAGTTGAAGAGACATCTTCAGCTCGAATAATGAGGAGAATCTTGAAAATTATAAATCTAGAAATAGATCGGTAGTGAGAGAAGGGGGCGTGTCCCTCAAACAGCAACATCTGGTTTTCACTTGTGAAACAATCTTGATCCTCCTGAGTGGATTGGCACACAAAGGTGGAAAATTTGGCGCTAGATAAAAGACAAGCCTATTTTCTACAATGTCTCCAAGTTTCATCTTATTCTAGCCACTTGTTTGCATGTAATTAATATTTTTGTATATCATGTTGGTTTTTTCGCGGTAATGCCTAGGAGCTCAGGTAAAGGGGACAGTTAGGTTCAGGTCTGGTAGGGTTAACGATGCTATTATTTGTATTTGTCTTTACCTGTTTGAAGTTACCTATTTGGATATTTCAGTGGGCCCACTACCCTTACAATCACCAACGCAGACAAAGTGGTTGCAATTGCAGTCGGAAAGATTGTAGAAGGAGATTATGAATTCCAGCTGACAGTTATTGATGGCGAGAGGCAGCAGTCGACAGATTCTTTGGTGATCTCAGTCAAAAAGGGTAACATAGCAAATAATAACGTATTTTTTGTTAATTAGATTGCTGGTAAAACTGTCTTTTAATGTGCTGTAGGACTGGGTAATCTTGAGCCTGACAATGTGACTCTTTTGGTACCAGATGACAGTTGACATATGACTCGGTGAATGTGCTTAACTTTTTGCTGACCAGCAATCTGGGGCATCACTGTTTCTAAGGGCATTTGGAGGTTTTTTGTCAAAATTACTGGTTTCGAATAAAGTTTATAAAAATCAAAATCGAACGTAGGGTTTTAAAACCTTCAGAGCACCATTATAAATGGTCGCTACACATGAAAAAAGATATATTATGTAAATATGTCACATTATCATGGTGACCATCTTGAATTTGTTTAGCTATAGAAATTTCAGGAGATGTTATAAAAACCATCATCTTTTTCCAGTCATTAGTGAATTTGTTCAGTGTCACTGCAATAAAATTTTGGGGACATGGTTGGCGATGAAAACAATTATCTAAATAGGAGCAGTTATTGAACGATTAACCAAATAGTTTAACATGAAAAGCAAATGAATAAGTCAATAAAGTGAAACAAATCTTTTTGTTTTGTTTTTGTTTTGTTGTGATTATTTGACAAATTACAATGAGCATTTGTGAATGCTTGATTATAAAAGCACCTCTGTGAGAGTCTGAGCTACTTCCTTCATTAACTGGAGTTGAAGCTGTAGCAGTAGCCCTCTGTCTTTTGTCAGAAACGTTGATAATCCTCAACTGTGAGGCTTAGCTTGAAACAGAGTGTCAAGCATAGAGGTTAGAGGTGTATTGCAATCTAGGCAGTACATGCAAGTCTGGCTTCTTTTACCTGCAGCCTTGCACACTTTACAGTCTGGTTTGTATCTTAGTTTTCAAATTAAAAAAAAAAATAAAAAAAAGATGGCGCTCAGTAAGTCATGATGTTGTGACATGTGATCTTGAAGATGTTACACTGTGCTGAAAAACAGCAGGTCCAATTAGAGCAAGACTGGCATCCTTCCTGAATCTCTTTGCTGTGATCTTCTGCTTAGAGTTAGCAGTGTTGTAGCTTACATGCTCACTGACCAGAGCAGTGTCAACTAAAAATAAATAATTAATATAATGGCATGTACCATTTATACGATCTATTTGGGTAGGGGTAGTTTGCACCCAACTGGCCGAAGTGATCGACACGCCCCGACACTCTTGTTGTATTTTCTGCAAGAACTGGCTTATTTATTGTTCTGCCCTCAAGAGTTCCACTTTTCCTAACTGTCTTGTCCATAACATCATTAGAAAAAACAGTAGATATCAGGTGAACTCTTAGTGTCATGACAGGTAATGGTGAACATTCCTTTATCTTTCGTCACATAAGACAGGATGGTCTGCCTTTTTCTGTTTCAGTTTACTTTTTCTTTAAAAAAAAAAAGAAATCATCACTTGGCACACACCCATTTGTGTCTGACATAGAACCTTGTTGTTCTTCATTTGGAGGAAGATTGTCAAGCTTAACAAGTTCATGTTGAGCAGCCTTTCTCTATTTACAAACAGCATTTTCAGCTGTAGAAATGTTCTGTTCTCTTGTGCCACGCCCACTTCTTTCTTCGGATGCACCTACGTCAACTCCATCCTCAAGTTTATCATTGTTGTCTCTACTTTCAGTTGTGATATGACGATAACATTAACAGGTGAATCTCCTCTTATCCAGGAACTATTGCTTTTAGTGCTACATTCGCTGGCAGATTCCAAATAATCCATACTACTAGTCTAGCTTTTGTCAACAGACATGTCAAAAAGGCTGAATATGCGTTGGTAATGAAAATTATCAAAATTTCACTGAAAACAATACTTAAATTGGCTCAAAGCGGTATCGATCGCAGCCATCTTAGAATAATAAAAAAACACCTAGATGCAGCTTAATCCAAAAACTGTTGGTAGGGACCTCTGTCGACAGACTACATCACACGAATTCCACGACTGTCAAAGTTGGTCACCAGTGGGTATGGACGGAAATTCGACGATCGCCAAAGTTTGCCAGCAAAGTGTTAGGAAGATCCCAGCTGGGTTCATCAGTCAAGAATGGATTGCAACACTGAATACTTCACGAATGGCTCGCCTAACCTTCAACTTTGTGCCAGGTCAGGGGGGGGTGTTGGAGGCGACTAGTGTGCAGATTGTCTTGCATATACTGCGGTTGCTATGGCTGGTCCTGTCCTGGACAGAAGCAGTGTTATCATATCCCTGTCTGCCTTGATGGACATGGGGTTGCATCCTGGAGCTGCAAGAAATGAACATTTCACTAAGGAGAAAAGAGGTTTGATTAATCAACACAGAACCAGTGTTGTCAGTCGTTTTACACTTGTGGAACTTTTGAGGAAGAGATCGGAGCACCTGCGGACCTGTCCAGAGTGCTGTGATGATGATCCTCATTAAACATGACTGATTTGTCTTCTTCTTTTTCTGCCTTCTAACTCCCCAGTGGTGCATACACCCTTAACCAACTCACATCAAGTTATTTTATCATTGGCTATTGCATGCAGCTTTACCCATCTTTTTAACTTCATTCTTTAGCTCCCTTCTCTATGTGTTTTTTGGTCTTCTTTTTTTTCTATGCCCTTGTGGGTTCTGGTGCAGAGACATTCTAGTTATATTGTTATCAGGTTTTCTCACTGGTCTCTCCTAAAACTCTACATTAGTGATTCTGACATACCATTTAATTCTCTCTTTTCTGTGTAGTTAATGAATGTTTGTAATTTATTAATAACTGCCTCAGTTGTTCTCCGTGTTTCCGCTCCATACAACAGTACTGATCTGACATTAGAATTGAAAATTTCAAGTTTAGCATTAGTTTTAATTACTTTTGACCCCCCAAAATTTCCTAGTGCTATGAAAGCTCCTCTTCATTTTTGTATTTGTATTTTAATATCTCTGTCAATGCCCCCATCTCTATCTACATTACTGCCCAAATATATGCACGGCTTCCTGTCTTGGAGTGAGATTTCTCTGCTGTTAGTATTACTTACTTACTGTCCATATTTCTGTTAATTTCAGATGTAAACCTCCGGCCTAAAGCTAACGCGGGAGGTAACAAAGTGGTGCAGGTGCCAGTTACTCTGGTGACTTTGGATGGATCCAAATCATACGATGATCGAGGCATCACCAAATATCTCTGGCAGAGGGACAGCAAAAGTCTGGCGGCTGGTGTAAGTAGACCTGCTTTTCTTCTTTATCTTGCAGTCTATACCATGTGGTATTGGCAGTCATGTTTATCCACAGCCTTCTGTCCCATGTAAAAGCCTTCAGGCGTACTGGGCAAAATAGGGGTGGATCTATATTTTATAGACCAATCGGCACTGGTTGGGTAATGTGGTTAGCATAATGCTGGCTACCTTGACTTCCCAGTACTTTTACCTATGTCGGCCAGGGCCATTATTTTTTTAAATACACATATACACACAGGCACACATGGAAATGAGCAAGATAATAGGCTTGCAGGTAAAGCTAATGTTGAGGGTGACCATTCCGTGGACCAGGCTGATACACTGAATGCTCTACGAGAAGGAAGACGTTTGTGCGAAAAAAGAATCTGCAACCATAACCTGACTGCAAGAACAACATTTTAAAAGGTGAATCTGCAGGAAGATAAAGAAGAATAAGAAACAAACACAGGATTAGTGTCATCAGTCAATACATGCTTCAGGATTTGCTGAGGAGGGGATCCGAGCACTTATGGACTAAATGATAAGTGTGCAATGAGGATAATCTGTCGACTAACTAACTGACTATCTGCAACCTGTTGGGCTATTTCAGTGGTTTGAGATGAATTCTGTCTGTATTCCATAGTTGTGGGTTTAAGCTGTATGACAAACTGTATGACTAGTGAAGACATATTTTTACGGGTGCTTGGTTGTTCATGTGTCTTATTAAACACTTGTTCTGCTGTAAGGCACTGCCATCCTTTGAAGGTGACACGTTGGATTTAAGTTATCTAGTGTGTCCTTCTCTCTTTCTGTTTCTTTTTTATGAATGCCAATCAATACCTGTCTATCTGTTTATTATATTTACTTTTTTATCACATCAAGCATTGATTGGTGTTTAAAAATATGGAACCATACACTGAATATGAGGCTCTCCTCCGAACTTCTACCCCGGCATTATGGCAGCTGAACAAATATCCTTAAGGGGCTCAGTCCTATTAAAAATATGCGAACTTCCGGCGACGAACGAATCGCAGCAAAACTAGGATTACCTGACAATTTCAAGAGACGCAACACTGCAGATGATAGTTGCAGACAATAATAGCGGCCATTGACACTTTCGAGCATTTCTGCAGACGATACTAGCAGACGATACTAGCGACCATTGACAATTTCGAGACACGCAACATTACTGACGATAACAGCCACATGGCGGGGAGACCACGTGCGCCAACGCAGATTAGCGTCATTGTTGTCCTCAAACTTTTCGGCATGTGCAAAACGCGGTTACACTCACCGCCGACAGTATCCCCACGCTACGCGCATCGCGGATGGGAGCTAAACTATGTGCCTGGGACTCATGAGCAAATTAATTGGAGGAAGTTGCAGGTGATGCGGTAGCTGCTGCTCATGAGTCCAGCCATCTACGGTGCGGGGGATACGGTCGGCGGTGAGGCATAGTCACAGAAACAGGTCCGCAATTAACATATCGCTGAGACCCTGTTAGAGCATTTGTTTCGTTATACGGAGCCGATCCTAGTTTTGCCGTGATTCGTTCATCGCCGGAAGTTCACATATTTTTAATAGGGCTGAGCCCCGTAAGGATATTTGTTGCCGCCATAATGTGGGGGTAAAAGTTCGGAGGAGAGTCGAATATGAAACATAACCTTTACTACCTTAATGTACTCGTAGGGTTTTTGGCCAGTGAAAATCTGGTCCTGCTTTTGCCAACACCCATTTGTTCATATTGGGATAATTAATCAGTAGATAGCTGTATACTTCAGGTTGTTTCTAATTTTGTACCACATGTATCTTTTGTTTTCAGACTGTGGTCAACAACTCGGACCACCAGGCTGTACTGCAGCTGGTCAACTTGGTGGCTGGTCAGTATCTGTTTACACTGACTGTGGAAGATGCCGAAGGTCTCAGCACTAGTGATACTGCGACAATTACTGTGAACAGAAGTAAGGGAATAGAGTTAGCATTTGAGGAGGATGTTTATCTGGCCAATATCTGTTTACACTGAGTACACAACATGTTGGAGGTCTGAGCACTGGGAACTTGGCAACAGTTACTGTTAACAGAAGTAAAGAAACAGAGTTAACCTGTGTGGAGGAGAATATGTGTGTGTTTCATGCATAGTGTGTGTGTGTGTGTGTGTATGGAGGAGGGGGGGAACAGGGGAATAGTTCTTGTACTTCTTGGCCTGCTTCTTTATTTGCCAGGGTGTGGCTCAGGTTAGCATGTGTGAGGTTTGTGTGGCACAAGTTAGCATGTGTTGGGGAAGGAGGGGAGATGTAGCTCATGTTAACATGTGTGGGGTTTGTGTGGCTCAAGTTAGCATGTGTTTGGGGAGGGGAGATGTGGCTCATATTAGCAAGTATGGGGTTTGTGTGGCTCAAGTTAGCATGTGTTGGGGGTGTGTGTGTGTATGGCTCATGTTAGCATATGTGGGGTTTGTATGACTTAAGTTAGCATGTGTTGGGGAGGGGAGATGTGTCTCATGTTAGCATGTGTGGGGTTTGTGTGGCTCAAGTTAGCATGTGTTTGGGGAGGGGAGATGTGGCTCATGTTAACATGTGTGGGGTTTGTGTGGCTCAAGTTAGCATGTGTTGGGTGTGTGTGTTGTGTATGGCTCATGTTAGCATGTGTGGGGTTTGTATGGCTTAAGATAGCATGTGTTGGGGGAGGGGAGATGTGGCTCATGTTAGCATTTGTGGGATTTGTGTTGCACAAGTTAGTATGTTTGGGGGCGGGGGTGGGGGGGGGGGGTGGCTTATGTTAGCACATGTGCTTGATATATGGTACAAGTTAACCATCTAAGGATGTATAGCTGGCCAGTATCTGAATGTGAAAGAGGCTGAAGGACTCAGCACTGGCAACACAGTTGCAATTACTCTGTCATTTCTTGTCTTTCTAGTTCTCTTTCAGTCTTTTCTACTAGTTGTGTGTGTCTCTCTGTCTGTCTCTCTCTGTCTCCCTCTCTCTCTGTCTCTCTCTCTCACTTCTGTCTATGTGTTTGCCTCTCTCTGTCTCTCTATATCTGTCATTCTCTCTTTTCTCTTGTTGTCCTGTGAGTATCTCTCTTTGCCGTCAGTCTATCAGTGCCTGTCTCTGTGTGTCTATTCTCTTTTAATATCTGTGATTCTGTCTTCTTTTCTGTCATTGTGCTGTGAGTCTCTCTCTCTCTCTCTCTCTCTCTCTCTCTCTCTCTCTCTCTCTCTCTTTTCTGCCTGTTTCTCACTGCCTCTTTCTCTGTCTCTTTCCTCTTTCTTGCTCTCTCTCTCTCTCTCTCTGTCTCTGTGCATGCATGCGTGCGTACATCTCTCACTCTCTTTCTCTCTCTCTCTCTCTCTCTCTCTCTCTCTCTCTCTCTCTCTCTCTCTCTCTCTCTCTCTCTCTCTCTCTCTCTCTCTCTCTCTCTCTCTCTCTCTCTCTCTCTCACTCTCTCTTTCTGTGAGTGTGTATGTTAATTTTGACAGCAGACTATCCATGTATATGTTGCCTGTATGTTTTTTCTCATCTCATCAGATCCTAATGAGAAGGATTTTCTGGAGATGATCCTAGATGCCGACATTGAGCACTTTACCATGGCCAATAGAGTGAGTTCAAGTGGGACTGATTTTTTTTGTTGATATCATGATTTCCTTTAAAAGATTGTTTCATGTTTTTCATATGATAATTCCCTTTATAGGTTTTTTGTTTTTTTAAATTGTGTTCTAAGTTTGAATTATTTTATCATCTGACACAAGGAAAAAAAAAACTCTTTTTCACTACAGCACTACAGTAAATAGGCATACGATGCTAGAACACTACAGCAAACAGGCATACGATGCTAGTATGATTTTTCTAGACCAGTTGGTGCTCGAGGGGTCAGTACCATCATGCCAGGTGGTCAGTGTTCACATCACATACCATCATACCAGGTGGTCAGTGTTCACATCACATACCATCACACCAGCTGGTCAGTGTTCACATCACATACTATCACACCAGCTGGTCAGTGTTCACATCACACCAGCTGTTCAGTGTTCACATCACATACCATCATGCCAGCTGGTCAGTGTTCACATCTCATACTATCACATCAGCTGGTCAGTGTTCACATCACATGCCATCATGCCAGCTGGTCAGTGTTCACATCACACCAGCTGGTCAGTGTTCACATCACACCAGCTGGTCAGTGTTCACATCACACCAGCTGGTCAGTGTTCACATCACATACCATCATGCCAGCTGGTCAGTGTTCACATCTCATACTATCACACCAGCTAGTCAGTGTTTTCATCACATACTATCATGCCAGCTGGTCAGTGTTCACATCACACCAGCTGGTCAGTGTTCACATCACATACCATCATGCCAGCTGGTCAGTGTTCACATCTCATACTATCACATCAGCTGGTCAGTGTTCACATCACATACTATCACACCAGCTGGTCAATGTTCACATCACATACTATCTTGCCAGCTGGTCAGTGTTCACATCACAGGACATTTTCTAGTAGGCATTTTAGGAATAGGCTTTAATATTCCCTATTACATATTCCATTACACTTTTTACATTACACTTATCGGCAAAAGTGGAAACTGGTGATGATGATTACATATGACAGAGATCAGCTGAGGACAGACTTTAACAGTGAAATGATGATTCAGCTACTTTTTTCCCACTGTCACTGTCCATCAGTCCCCCCTGTATACTGTCCCCCAGTCACCAATGTCTCTGGCTCATATCTAGGGTCTGGCAAGATTAAAATCCATCTAACTACCTCACTAAGTAAATATACAATTACTTAATTCTGTGTCAGTTAATCTAGAACATGTAATGCCTAATCACCACAAACTACATCAACTCAGCTGCACTGACTATGTCGGACAGTTTATTCCTGATGACCACAGTTGGTTTTCTTGCTCACCTCGCTGTAATTTCAGGCCATTTTACCCTTCTGGCTACAGCTACTTGAGGCCACAACCAGACAGACAACCACGATTTCACACAGCTACTTGAGGCCACAACCAGACAGACAACCACGATTTCACACAGCTACTTGAGGCCACAACCAGACACAACCACGATTTCACACAGCTACTTGAGGCCACAACCAGACAGACAACCACGATTTCACACAGCTACTTGAGGCCACAACCAGACAGACAACCACGATTTCACACAGCTACTTGAGGCCACAACCAGACAGACAACCCACGATTTCACACAGCTACTTGAGGCCACAACCAGACAGACAACCACGATTTCACACAGCTACTTGAGGCCACAACCAGACAGACAACCACGATTTCACACAGCTACTTGAGGCCACAACCAGACAGACAACCACAATTTCACACAGCTACTTGAGGCCACAACCAGACAGACAACCACGATTTCACACAGCTACTTGAGGCCACAACCAGACAGACAACCACGATTTCACACAGCTACTTGAGGCCACTACCAGACAGACAACCACGATTTCACACAGCTACTTGAGGCCACAACCAGACAGACAACCACAATTTCACCCTCACTTCTCAGTTATATCTTTGAAACCCTTCACCACTCATGCTCTCTTAACAGGCCCCCCAAGCTCCACTGTATCCTGGAAGACAGCGTCACTCATGAAAAATCTGTTTTCAGTCTTATGTGGATTTGAATTCAGACCTTTTGACAGGTGGCCACTCCATGGCTCCTTCGTTATTTCATTTGGTTTGTTTAATTGTCAGTTGATTTTTCTTATGATTCTTGTAATAAACACACCTCTTCTTCCTCCTCCTTTTTTTTCTCCCTGCCACTAGTTTTTGGATGAGAAAGCCACAGGCCTCTACAAAGATTGTGGTGCAACACTTTTCTTCCACTTATACATATAACTGGCCAAACCTGAACCTTAGATCTCTCTTCTGCATTTGGAGAGCCTGTCTGCAGCACATGTTTAGATTCTGTCCACGTTGGCAAAGTTCAGAGTTCCCAGTCATAGATTTCTTCCATCTATGACTGGGAACTCTGTTGTGTCCAGTTTACAATGCAAATGTAAGGAGCATTCATTTGAAACACGTTTCAATGGCTTTATTTCAAAAGCCTAACAGAAACATCAGCAGGTGTGTCAGAATTTAAAAAAATCATTCATTTTGAATGAATTATTCACCAAGGATTTCTCAGATAAAGTCCCATTGACTTTCAGGCAATCATCCTATGACATCTCCGTTAGTCTCCACCGCTTCCACATATTATTTCACTAAATGGCTAACTGTCCGTGATTCACCTCTGTATATCTAGATGGGATTAACAGAGCTCTTGAGGATTCTCATTTTCACCTACGTTGACAAAGAATGATTGCCTAGAACATTATTCACTTTGTAAAATGCTGCCTTTGCTTGAACTATGCTGCATTTAACATATATTTCTGTTACACGTTTCACTGACTTTTATATTTAAGATAATCAGCATTTTTTGGTATTACATATTCATATGATTTTTTGTATATCTGGAATTTGATGTTTCTATTTACATTTTGTTGTGCCAGGATTTTTATGTTTCTGTGTATTATGTGTTTGACCAATTTTTGCATGCCAGGAAAGCTTGGTAGATCAGCTGGTACTGATGCTGCAGAGGTCCTCGGAAGACAGACACACAGTTGTGGATGTCCAGTCCATCACAGAAGATGTCAGCACTGGACAGTATGTTATCATTTACAATTGTTATCAATTACTGTGTACATTAGTTTCCAGGGTCTTTGATTTTGAATTCCCTGCTTTAGAACCTAAGAGAAATAATGTGACCATAACAAAAACCAGCAGGTTAGAAATATAGTTACGAATTAACACATGCTAAACTACACTCACCTGCCTGCTCAAAGGTCTTGAGTTCAAATCCCCATTGAGTTGGATAAAAACACCCCAAAAAAAATTAAACGAAAAAAATTAATTAATTAATTAGCTCCAAGATTGACCCAGTCTAAAATGGGTACCACTTGGTCCTGGGAAGTAAAGGTGGTCGGCATGATGTTGTCCACAACACCCATCAGGTGTTGATTGGTCTGCAGAAACACAAATCATATGCCTGATGTGCCACTGGCACATGGTTTGGACATGTATCAAGACTACCACCAGACAGGGCCTCACAGAGAACCCTGTCACTTAAACATAATGGAAGCAAATCTGGAGATCATGTACGTGATGGGTAGGTTGAATATCCTAAGTCGTAATTACTATTTCTACACAGCACATCCTAAGATTTACACCCAGTGTCTCTTCAAAATCTGAAGCTGACAGGTAGAACAGGACTAGACAAGAAGAAGAGATAAGCTTTCAGACAACTCTTAGATTTTTCAAAATGACCTTGGCTCCTAGGTTAACCCACCCTAAAATGAGTACTATGTAAAAGACCTGGAAAGTAAAGGCAGCTGGCTTCATGTTGACCTCATGACCCCTCGAGTGCCAGTCATCTTCTTCTTCTTCAGCATTCCAAGCCCTTGAGGTTCATTGCTGCAGATCTGCAGGTCTGTCTGGACATTATCTCTTCATATTTTTCTTGGTCTGCCTCGTGATCTACAACCATTCATCTCCCTTGGGTGTACAATTTTTCTCCTCTTTTAATATGCCCCAACCATTTCAGTCTATTAGCTCTCATGATACCAGCGATCAGTGGTGATTTAAACATTAAATATTGAAACATTAAACATTAATTGAGTGCCAATCAGTCCTAAAAAATATGAGTCTAGAAACTTATGCCCAAAATGCCAGCAGCGTTTAAAAAAAAGGAGGTGGTCTTTTAATTTACTTTTTATAGTTTTTTTAACCTTAAACAACTTAAGCCAACTTATCCTGTCCTTTCTTTGAAGGATCTCAACCAGTGGACATCATCAGAGAATGCAGGCTGCATACGTTAACAAATATATGTTGAAAGCAACAGCGACTAACCGGGCACAAATGTTTCGGAAAGATTGTGAATTCAAAACAGATCCCCCATGGCAGGGTGAAGCAGCTGTTGTTGCAACAGAAAAAACTTATCGCCAAAATTAGTACAGGAATACGAGTGAACTGTTGTTAGAGCATATGTTCGCTACCAAAAGAATTTGTTTTGTCAGTCAAGACAGTTTCCAGAGGTTGTTCTTAATTAACTGCAATATCAAAAGGTGTGTTCACAGTGGGTAATGCATTTTGAACATTGTAAACACTTGGTTCAGTGAGTAACCACAATCCTTTTTTGCGGAGGCCATTCCCCTCTTACCTAAGCAATGGAATGCTTGCCTGAATGCCTATTTTGACTTCTCTGATGAACTCCTGGTGCATAATTAATTCAAAATTAATAATTTAATTCTGCTTCACCTACTGATGCTTCTTGCATGCTTTTGTGAAAAAGCCACTTGAATGGTTTTTAAAGGAATGCTGCTTTAATTTTTCATATGTCTGTATGAGTCAGCTCTGTGGCTAAGTCAATGCGAACACTTCGTAATGCCGGGGTACCGGGTTCGATCCCAGCTGCGGGCCATACGCCTTGCGTTGGTTTTGACAGTGGTATCAGGGAGCCGACTGTCCAGAAAGCAATAGCAAACTACTGGATGTAAATTTGCCTAGTGAAACCACACAACAGCCAAGGGCTGATGGGATTGGTTCTGCAACGTCCTGTAAAGGATACGCAACTAACCTTATGTCTGTATGAAGATGGATGGCAAAAGTATACTAAAAGTAATTGATTGTACTGTTTAAACCAGCTTGTTTATTTGTAAATAAAGGGTCATACATATTAAGGTTGTTGCGTATCCTTTACAGGACGTTGCAGAACCAACCCTAACAGCCCCTGGCTGTTATGTGGTTTCTCTAGGCAAATTACGTCCAGTAGTTTGCCATTGCTTTCTGGACGGTCGGCTTTCTTGATACCACTGTCGAAACCAACGCAAGGCGCATTGCCCGCAGCTGGGATCGAACCCGGCATCCCGGCATAACGAAGCGAAGTGTTCGCATCGACTTAGCCACAGAGCCGACGGTCATACATATAGGAATGTATATTTCATTGCTAAATCATCACATTTGAAGGGTTTTCAAAGGAATACTGTTTTTATTTTACATTTAAGTCTGTATGAAGATGGATGGGAAAAGTATACTAAAAGTAATTGATTGTACAGTATAGTCCAGCTTGTTTATTTGTTAATAAAGGGTCATAAATGTAGGAATATTTATTTCATTGCTAAATCATCACAGTCATCTTCTCTTTCTCATGGTCTGTCTTCCATTTCCTTTCTTTAGCTATTTATTTCTTTATTTTTTCTCTAAGTATTTACATGACATAAATTATTGATGATAAGATGTGTTTCTGGTTGCCAGTTTGTGCATCACATTCCAAGTTCTACATCAAGGCAAAGGAACCACTACTGTGATGAATGGAATACAAGCCTTGCAGACTCTCAAATCCAAAGTCAACTATGGGAAAATTCTAGAATATACCATAGTTAGGTTGGATCTGTCAGGTAAGTGACAGACATGGTGACCTACAGTGCATAAATATTCTTGCTTTTTTTTTTCTTTATGACTTGTATTTGTTCTTTTCTTAAGAGCTTTATGGAGCCAATCTTAATATTTGTATGTGAATAATCGACAGATAGCCAAATAATGAACAGTTATACAGAAACTGGAGAGATTTGGTTTTATATATGACTATCTATGCAAGACTTCTGGCAAAGCATGTATCCATCATTCTGTGAAGAGTCAAACTTTCACACAATTTGTGATATATTCTTATTGTAGTTGATCTCACTTTCATTTTATTCTGCTGTTCTTAAAATATGTGATTTTGAATAAGAGGTGTTCCACAGTTTCAACGTCGTGCTAGATGAAGTTCTAGTCAACGATTTTTGAGTCTGTCTGGCTTTGTGGCCTCATCTTCAGTAGATTTGTGCCACACTAAGGCATGCATGTGTTCTTTATTGTTTGATGTCTCTTTTTGTCTTTTTAGGAAGAGGGGGGGGGGGGGGGGGGGGTCACATTTAGATTAAATGAGTAGTTTTTTATTTCTTTAATTGAGATTCTGTAAACGTCCTCCAGTTGTCAGTGATGGTATAGCTAGATGTTGTCAGTGATGGTATAGCTAGATGTTGTCAGTGATGGTATAGCTAGATGTTGTCAGTGATGGTATAGCTAGATGTTTGTCAGTGATGGTATAGCTAGATGTTGTCAGTGATGGTATAGCTAGATGTCAGTGATGGTATAGCTAGATGTTGTCAGTGATGGTATAGCTAGATGTTGTCAGTGATGGTATAGCTAGATGTTGTCAGTGATGGTATAGCAAGATGGGCCTTTTTCTTCACTTGAACTGTGGACCCTCTTTTGACTCAAATAGCTGCATTACGGTTGCCAGTCTCCGAAAACCTGTTTAACCTTCTAAGGAGTTGTACCTAAGGCACGTGTAACTGCTACATCAAGTACCACCCTGTCCGTGCTGTAAGCCACATAGACTGACAGTTATTTGGTCATTCTGATACACTGTTGCAGCATACTAAGAGAAGTATAATCTAGAAATGGACTATACTGTGTTCTGCATCGGTTTTTAAATCACATGCTCTTTCACATNCTTGCAGACTCTCAAATCCAAAGTCAACTATGGGAAAAATTCTAGAATATACCATAGTTAGGTTGGATCTGTCAGGTAAGTGACAGACATGGTGACCTACAGTGCATAAATATTCTTGCTTTTTTTTTCTTTATGACTTGTATTTGTTCTTTTCTTAAGAGCTTTATGGAGCCAATCTTAATATTTGTATGTGAATAATCGACAGATAGCCAAATAATGAACAGTTATACAGAAACTGGAGAGATTTGGTTTTATATATGACTATCTATGCAAGACTTCTGGCAAAGCATGTATCCATTTTGTGGCCTCATCTTCAGTAGATTTGTGCCACACTAAGGCATGCATGTGTTCTTTATTGTTTGATGTCTCTTTTTGTCTTTTTAGGAAGAGGGGGGGGGGGGGGGGGGGGTCACATTTAGATTAAATGAGTAGTTTTTTATTTCTTTAATTGAGATTCTGTAAACGTCCTCCAGTTGTCAGTGATGGTATAGCTAGATGTTGTCAGTGATGGTATAGCTAGATGTTGTCAGTGATGGTATAGCTAGATGTTGTCAGTGATGGTATAGCTAGATGTTGTCAGTGATGGTATAGCTAGATGTTGTCAGTGATGGTATAGCTAGATGTCAGTGATGGTATAGCTAGATGTTGTCAGTGATGGTATAGCTAGATGTTGTCAGTGATGGTATAGCTAGATGTTGTCAGTGATGGTATAGCAAGATGGGCCTTTTTCTTCACTTGAACTGTGGACCCTCTTTTGACTCAAATAGCTGCATTACGGTTGCCAGTCTCCGAAAACCTGTTTAACCTTCTAAGGAGTTGTACCTAAGGCACGTGTAACTGCTACATCAAGTACCACCCTGTCCGTGCTGTAAGCCACATAGACTGACAGTTATTTGGTCATTCTGATACACTGTTGCAGCATACTAAGAGAAGTATAATCTAGAAATGGACTATACTGTGTTCTGCATCTGTTTAAATCACATGCTCTTTCACATACACCAAGATCACAATATTTGTATCCTAAAAGGCTCTGTTCTCACATAGGTTTCGCTGCCCTATTTTATGCAGCATAAAAAAAAAAGAATTGAGCCACTGTCCTCCTCCCCTTCCCCCCCTTTTTTTTCCACCCCCTCCCCATTTCCATCCACAGCCCCTAAAATGCAATCTTAAACTGCAACTATTTAAGGAAATTTTCCTTAAAGTCGAAGTGCTTCTGCTTGAGAGGTGAGGAACCAAGAGTCTGCATACAAATAAGCCAGGTCTGTGAAACAGATATGCCTACAAAACTCAGGTCCTGGGACAAGACACAAAGTCCAGAACTAAATGAACAACTGGAACTTTCCAAAAAAGTTTACGATCCGTGAATGCTGAGAAGGAGAAGAAATGAAAAGTGTAAAGATGTCTTGAAAGAAATTGATTCACACAAACGTCTTCTTCTTTCTTCGCTTGAAGTAGATAATCTTAATCTGCAGTGTTGTCTCTAGAACTTCACTGTGTTTTGTAATTCACTCAGCTACCCGTAAAGTTTGGCTTGCACCAATATTGCACAAACTCCTGATTACGTGCATCAGAAGAAAGTCTACATTTTTTTATCATGTGAGAAAGGAAAAATGGAAGTATACCATGAAATGAGAAAACTGGAGGGCAAGTGAGGCAGAGAGAGAGAGAGAGAGAGAGAGACTAAAAAGAAAAGATACTGGACAGTTTTGCATCGTGGCATGAAAGAACGTCTGTATCAGAATGATTTACAGTACACAAGACAGAAGGCTGTGAACTGACAGGATTATCAGTACCACACAATGTAGACTCATCATCATCATGAATCAGCAGTTCCTTTACAGAACGTGGCCTAAAAGTCTCTTTTTCAGTCTTGTGTGCTTTCATAACCTGTGCATTTTATCTGCCCTGTATCCACATTTGCGGAGGTCGGCCTCTCCCTGATTTTCTGGAAACTACACCCACCATCATTGTCCTCTCCAGACCACCATGGTGCTTGACATGTCCAAATATTTCAGCTGTGGGAGGATGCTGTTTACAAGCAAGTTTTCCTTGATGTTCACGTCATTCAATATGTCGACGTTTTTCTTATCTTTGGTCCTCTGTATCCTAAGAACCTTTCTGTAGCACTTCATTTCAAAAGCTCTGATTTTCTTCTTCAAAGACTGAGCGAGAGTCCATGACTCGCTTTGAAACTCGCATCAGAGCATCTGGTGGGATTTAGGTTGCGATGGGATAATTTGATCCCCTCCTGCAACAAAGTTTGTGACATTTTGTTCCCACAAATCCACCTCTTTACCTGTATCATTCATGTCCCACTTGCACACATCTTTGTATTGTATTGTAGTAGAGGCCAACCTTGACATCGTGTATCTATTTGTAAGACACTATAGACTCCTTGGGGCAGTCTGCTATCCTCCTTGGCTGACACTTAATTGACATAATTTGTTAAAGAATTAGGAAGGTATTTAGAATTATAAGTAGTGTATTCATATTTGTAATATGCTACCAGTGTGAACTTTTGACTTATGCGTTTTTCCTCTTGTTTCCTGCATATATTTTCTTCTTCTGCCTTCTATGTGCCAATGGAGCATAGGCCTTCAACCAACTCATGCCAGGTCGTTCTAGCCTTTGCTGTTGCTATTAACTTCAGTCTCTGGCTCCCTTCTCCGTGTGTTTTTTAGTCTACCTTTATTGCTGTTCCCCTGTGGGTTTCAGTGCAAAGAAATTCTAGCTATATTGTTCTCAGATTTTCATGCATTTCTGCGTGTTTGTCTCTGTGGGTGTCAGTATGTGTTTGTCTGCCTGTTTGTCTGTATTTGTGTGTGTGTGTGTGTGTTTGACTGCGTGTGTGTTTATGTGGCTGTATGTATGTGTCTGCATGTTTGTCTGCGTATGTGTGGTGTGTGTGTCAGTGTGTGAGCACGAATGTAAATATGTGTGCTGTGTTTCCCTGTGTGTGTTTGTATGTAAGTGTCTGTGTGTGTGTCTGTATTTTTGTCTGAGTGTGTGTGTGTCTCTGTGGGAGTGTCCGTGTGTGCATGTGTGTGTCTCCATGCATGACTGTATTTATGACTGTATGCGTGTATGCCTGTATTACGTATGAATGTATGTTTGTATCTATGTGTGTATGTATGTTTGTGTGTACGTATGCCTGTATGTATGTGTGTATGCATGTTTGTTTGTATGTATCTGTGTATGTATGTATGTAATGTATGCATGCATGTTTGTGTTTGTAAGTGAGTGGGTAAGCGCGTGTATGTGGTTGTATGTATGCACGCACGGGTTTTTGCATGTACTTTACAACTCATGCTTTTGTGTTCTTTTATAATATTCATAATATGCATATCATCATATGATCATAACATGCTTTATTAGTAAAATACTACTGCTGTGCGAAAGATGGTTGACTGGAAGGGCCGAATGTAAGACGGGCCTGCGTGCCCAATTTGTGACCCTTTGAAAATAAAGTTCGTTTGTTCGTTTGTTCGTTCGTTCAGTGTGTGTCATATTTAAGTCTTTTCTTTACCTCTTGATCTCCTTAATACCAGGTTCGATTCAGGTTGTGGGCGATTTAGCAGCATACCTTTTTTGTGTTGATTTTGACAATGGTATGCAGAACTGACCATTAAGAAAGCATTAGCAAACCATTAAATGTATACTTGCCTAGTAACAATTACAAATGGCCAGCAAATATTGAGACTGGTTCTGCAGTATACTGTAAAGGATGCACAACAAGCTTTATTATTGAATCTATATCCAGTTTTTATTTTTTTCTTTATAGTTTCAGTGTTGTCATTGGTCTTCTTGCACCTTACATTATGGAATTATTGAATATAAATTATGGCTAAGATATTAACTGTTTTGAGAGTTATATGTCTTGTAATGCATTTGTGAAACTTAATACTCATGAAAGCTTGTGTCTGTTTTCAAGTGTGCCAAAACAACTGTTCAGGCCATGGACATTGTGACCAGAAGACCAAACAGTGTGTCTGTGAGGCTTTCTGGATGTCCAGTGTGTTCTCATCCAGCATTTTTAGTAGTGAAAGTAACTGTGGTGAGTAGTATAGACTTGAGAGAGTGGTAGTGGAGGCGAAAGTGAATGAGTGATGGTGCTGGGAGAGATGTAGACAGGGTGAGTAGTATAGACTCTAGCAGGGGATAAGTAAAATCAAGAGTGAGTCAAGGATAGTGCTGGGAAAGAAGTTACAGGGGAGATGTAGACAGGGTGAGTAGTATAGACTCTAGCAGGGGATAAGTAGAATCAATTGAGTTCAAAATCAAGAGTGAGTCAAGGATAGTGCTGGGAAAGAAGTTACAGGGGAGATGTAGACAGGGTGAGTAGAATAGACTCTAGCAGGGGATAAGTAGAATCAAGAGTGAGTCAAGGATAGTGCTGGGAAAGAAGTTACAGGAGAGATGTAGACAGGGTGAGTAGAATAGACTCTAGCAGGGGATAAGTAGAATCAAGAGTGAGTCAAGGATAGTGCTGGGAAAGAAGTTACAGGAGAGATGTAGACAGGGTGAGTAGAATAGACTCTAGCAGGGGATAAGTAGAATCAAGAGTGAGTCAAGGATAGTGCTGGGAAAGAAGTTACAGGGGAGATGTAGACAGGGTGAGTAGTATAAACTCTAGCAGGGGATGATTAGAATCAAGAGTGAGTCAATGATAGTGCTGGGAAAGAAGTTACAGGGGAGATGTAGACAGGGTGAGTAGTATAGACTCTAGCAGGGGAATAAGTAGAATCAAGAGTGAGTCAAGGATAGTGCTAAGAAAGAAGTTACAGGAGAGATGTAGACAGGGTGAGTAGTATAGACTCTAGCAGGGGATAAGTAGAATCAAGAGTGAGTCAATGATAGTGCTGGGAAAGAAGTTACAGGGGAGATGTAGACAGGGTGAGTAGTATAGACTCTAGCAGGGGATAAGTAGAATCAAGAGTGAGTCAAGGATAGTGCTGGGAAAGAAGTTACAGGGGAGATGTAGACAGGGTGAGTAGTATAGACTCTAGCAGGGGATGAGTAGAATCAAGATTGAGTCAATGATAGTACTGGGAAAGAAGTTACAGGGGAGATGTAGACAAGGTGAGTAGTATAGACTCTAGCAGGGGATGAGTAGAATCAAGAGTAAGTCAATGATAGTGCTGGGAAAGAAGTTACAGGGGATATGTGAAAGTGATAAGTAGTACTTTAGAGGGTAATAAGGATAGGAAAGTGGGTGGAAGATTTTGCTGGGAAAGATGTAACAGAAAAGAAGCGGCTATGAGTTATGTAGACTCTTTAAGAGTATTAGTTAGTTAATCGACCTGTCATCCACATTGGATAAGTCCATAGGCGCTTCAGATCCCGTCTTCAGATATCTCCCTTAGTGTGTAAAAGGACCTTTTTCCATGCTTTCGTGTGTTTTTGGAATTTAGGGCTAGACCTGTATTTTATAGACTAATCAGCACTCAGAGAGTGATGTGGTCAACATCACTCCGGCCGACTTTACTTCCCAGGACTCACCTGGTACCCATTTAAGGGTGGGTGAACCATGGAGCCAAGGTCATTTTGAAAAATAGTCCGGCTCCATCAGGACCTGAACTCACGATCTACCCATTAGCACTAGAGCGTGGAGCCACCACACCACAGCAGCTCCCTCAAAGTGTGGCTACTGATATAAACAGTTCTGTGTCGGTTTACTATTTTTCTCTGGCTACCTTATATTGTTCATACCTGGCAACATCTATTTTGACATGAAATTTTTGTATCTTAAGAGTATGGAGGAGAGGGAGTGAATCAGAGTGCAAGGAAAGATATTACAGAGGAGAGGTAGATATACATAGCGTGAACACTCTAAAGAGTGATGAGGATAGGAGAATGAGTGAATAATAGGGCAGGAAAGATAAGAGAGAAGTAGATCTATACAATGTACACTCTAGAGAGTGATGAGGGTAGGAGAATGAGTGAATGATAGTGCAGAGAGAGATGTTACAAGGGAGAAGCAGATATACAGAATCTACACTCTAGAATGCGATAATGATAGGAGAATGAGTGAATGATCATGCAGGGAAATGTGTTAAAGAGAGAAGTTGATGTAATGAGTATTATAAACTTTGTAGAGAGACGATGAGAGAGTGAGTGAAGGATAGTGCAGGAACTGTTAAGGGGAGAAGTATATATGATTGGCCATTTGTAGTCTAGAGAGGCGATTAAGAGATTGAATGAATTCCAGTGCAGGAAAAAATACAGGGGAGAAGTAGAGGTAAGTGACAGCAGTTAGCAGTGGTAAAGTAAAAGCTGTTAAGACAGATACAGGTGATACCAGTTATTAACAGTGGTAAAGTGGCAGCTGTTAACATTGATACAGTGATAGCAGTTAACATTGATAAAGTGATAGCAGTTAACATTGATACAGTGATAGCAGTCAACATTGAAAAAGTGATAGCAGTTAACACAAATAGTGATAACTGTTAACATTGATAAAGTGATAGGTGTTAACATTGATAAAGTGATAGCAGTTACCATTGATCAAATGACAGCTGTTAACATTGATAAAGTGATATCAGTTAACACTGATAAAGTGATAGTAGTTAAGACTGATAAAGTGATAGCTGTTAACATTGATAAAGTGACAGCAGTTAACATTGATAAAGTGATAGCAGTTAACACTGATAAAGTGATAGTAGTTAAGACTGATAAAGTGATAGCAGTTAATATTGATAAAGTGACAGCAGTTAATATTGATAAAGTGATTGCTGTTTACATTGATAAAGTGATAGCAGTTAACACTGATAAAGTGATAGCAGTTAACACTGATAAAGTGATAGTATTAAGACTGATAAAGTGATAGCAGTTAATATTGATAAAGTGACAGCAGTTAACATTGATAAAGTGATTGCTGTTTACATTGATAAAGTGATAGCAGTTAACACTGATAAAGTGATTGCTGTTTACATTGATAAAGTGATAGCAGTTAACACTGATAAAGTGATAGCAGTTAACACTGATAAAGTGATAGCAGTTAACATTGGTAAAGTGACAGCAGTTAACACTGATAAAGTGATAGCAGTTAACACTGTTAAGTGATAGCAGTTAACATTGATAAAGTGACTGCAGTTAATATTGATAAAGTGATAGCAGTTAACACTGATAAAGTGATTGCAGTTAATATTGATAAAGTGATTGCTGTTAATATTGATAAAGTGATAGCAGTTAACACTGATAAAGTGATTGCAGTTAATATTGATAAAGTGATTGCTGTTTACATTGATAAAGTGATAGTAGTTAAGACTGATAAAGTGATAGATGTTAACATTGATAAAGTGACAGCAGTTAACATTGATAAAGTGATAGTAGTTAAGACTGATAAAGTGATAGCAGTTAATATTGATAAAGTGACAGCAGTTAATATTGATAAAGTGATAGCAGTTAACACTGATAAAGTGATTGCAGTTAATATTGATAAAGTGATAGCAGTTAACATTGATAAAGTGATAGCAGTTAACACTGATCAAGTGATAGCAGTTAACATTGATAAAGTTACAGCAGTTAACATTGATAAGGTGAAAGCTTTCAATGTTCATAAAGAGAATAACTTATACATTGTTATGTTCCACAGATTGGAGTATTCTCTATGTTGTTATCATTTTATTCATAATCCTGGTTGCAGTAATTAGTGCAATATGGACTATTGTGTGCTGCTGTACTTCTAAAAAGTGAGTTGAATTTCTCCATAAATTTTCAGTTAGCAGTGTTAATTAAGTTCAGTCTGCAGCCATAACACGTTGAAAATACCGGTTCTCGTCCGATCACCATAGTCAAGCAACGTCGGGAGTGGCTAGTACTAAGATGGGTGATGACTTGGGAACACCACGTGTTGTAGACACTTCTGGGTTGCACCAAAGACACCCCAGTGGTGTGTATGCGATAGATCCTTGGTTTGCCGACTGTTGCAGATAGGCATAAGTTGCTGCAGGTGAAATAATATCTCAAGGTAGCTGCAGATTTGACGTAGCGGCCCTATGATCCCTTGCGATTACAAAACCTTAGTGTGACGTAACGGCTCGTGGGTTCTCTGGATTTAGGTTTTAATGAATTTTATATGTTGAGAAGGGATTTTTCCTCTCAACACATCCCCTCCACCAGATTAACTAAACTAATATCTGGGCTATGTTGCTCTCAGACAAAGTCCTGGATATCCAAGAAAACAGCCATATTGGCTCGTTAATTATTTTAACATTAGCTGCACTTGGTACCCACAAGAGAAGGAAATGGGATTTTGATGACTTTATATCATTATATTGAATGGCTTTCTAGACAGGGCAGTTGACCCATTCCGTCGACCTTCCCTTGGTAAAGAATTATTATTATTATTATTCAATGAGCCCCCACCAAATGCTATTCTATCTTAACAGTTTAATTAAACATGTAAGGACAGACACACTTGGAATTATAAAAACTGATGCAGGATAAGACCATATACTTGATTTATTAACCTAGCATTCATTTAGGTTATTTTTATTTTTAGTTAACAGTGATGGTATGGTGGTAATGAGATGCTTCAGCTAACTGAGCACCTAAGATTAGAGTGAAGTGATAATGGTGGTGTTTAGTTACATAAATACATGATACGTAACATGGTTTTTTAGAAAGTGGAACCTCTGAGAGTCCTCGCATTGAGTCTCTTCTTAGCTGTTCCAACTTTTCCTCCCAGTTCTCCTGGTTCCACCTGTTTCCCAGCTGGCCGAGTTCTAACACAATGTAGTCTCGTGCCCGTGATGATCCTCTATTTCTGTTCTCAGAAAGGACTGATCGTCACATGGAAGCTGTAATCATGGAAACAAACACATACGTGTAGTATCTTGACATACACTAAGAATACATGTATCAGTTAATACAATATATAATAATAAAATAAATCCCATCACTCCTCCTCATATTCCACATTCTCTCCAGTCTAGTCTGAAGGTCTCTGGGTCTCACACTGACGTCTAACATATACTGCCTTCCTTCTCATGTTCTGTCATGATAGTTGACTTTCTAAGTCTGTTGTCCGTCATCACTCAGACTTCCAACTGG